GTTTCTTTCACCATGAAAACCTTTAAGTCTTATATGTTTCCCGTAATGTCAAATTACAACAACAGCGCCCTCATTTGATACAGGAAAAACTTTGGAATTTTTTTCAGTGTTAAAACCCTGCACTTTCCATTAAGAATAAACCAAGTAATCCTTACAAATAAGAGGTGCGGAGAATGCACAATACGTTCCGAAGTGAAAAAAATCACAGTCACTTTGCATGAATCAACTGACAGTTTTCAATCTTTCCTGACGAATGAGTACATTTGTTTTGATTGATTCTGGGGAAGGCAGTAAGTGATTCAAGATGTGCGTCATTTCTTTTTAATTCAATTTATTTTGTGGGAAAATTCTTCTCTCTTGAGCACAATCCCAAGCGATAACAAAACCTTTAAAGGAAACCAATTTACTTATAAGACAGCCATGTGCAGAAAATGGCTTAAATGCTGAAGTAACTTCCAGGAATGACATAATGATTTGCCTAGAGATTAAATCTGAATTTGCATAAAATATAAAAGGCACCAAAATGCATTTAAAATGGCAAAATGAAAATTAAAAATCGGGTTAAATGGCTTTAAAACGTGCATTTACAAGAACTGCATTTAGAAAAATTAGATCGAACGTGCCCGTTTAAGAATTGAAATGTGTTCTTTTCCAGAGCACAATGCATAAAAGTCTAAACCCAGCCACGTTTAAATTATCAGTATGGATGAAACATCCGGAAGGCATGGATGCAGTTATTCCTGTCACAAAGTGGACGTTTAATTAGGGAGGCACAATTGAACGCGGGATGAATTTCGTTCGATTTCTCAGAACTGAGAAGTCCTCCGCCATAAGCGAAGGAATTAGCCGTCTGCTTGATCAGGTGTTAGTTGGACAGCGACTCAGTCCAGAGGAGTGTGTCGTGGTCTGTGTAATGTGTTAGTTCTTGGAAGTACAGGTCCGCTGTTCGGCGTTTCCGCATCTTGAGACTGCAGGGCCAAAAACCTGTATGATTTACGCTGGTAGCACCTGCCGAAGGCTAAAAGGCTATTCAGGGGGGTCCCTATCTTTCTGAGAACTGAATACCTCAAAGTGGGTTCACAAGTTGATATCAGTGACCTTTGTTGCTTGCTTCGAACTAAACGTCTGTCATTCGTAGAATTAATGTTTCAACTGATAGAAAATCACATTTTGACTGATATAACAGTACAATATAATCATCAGTTTGATTCAAATCTCTATACGGCAATTACACGTATATCACACTGTTGTATGGGCAGAGAGCAACATCCCGCACCACTAGCATGTCACAGATTATGCCAGAAACCACCCATATGTTAATTGTAAACGGCGTCGAACTCCTATAGCCGAGAGTGTAGTTCGGGGATTTTGCCTTAATGCAATAATCCAATCATCGGGGTTTTCACAAACCGAATTTGGGTGCAAGTGGACCTACTTTAAATCGACCAGGTGCCGTAACCATGTGCATCACAGGATGATTGGCCGAACTGAAATCCTATAAAGCAACCTTTATTACTGGCAGAATCTGTATGACGACGATTCCTCGGCAGAGATTTCATGTGTTGTGTCGTACTGCGATTTCCGAAGATTTCTTTGAAGGACAATGTGAATTTGTCGGGCTTACCTTTGACCTGGGCCTTTGCCTTAACACTAACTTAATGTTTTGTGCCCGTTTTACAACAAATGCATTATTTGCTCTCTTCGGAATAAGGTTGGCACAGTCGGACACCGAGAGACCTTCTTTATGAACTAGAATCCCGTCAAAGCCTTTACAATTAGCGGTCAGGATCAAACAGATTTATTAAATCCGAAGGACAAGTCATTTAATTAGAAATTCGCTCAAACATCGGAAGAGCACGTCCTGACCCCAGTGACATTATACATCTTAGTCCGATGGATGTTAGCGACGTGCCATCGCGTCAACGGTTCCAGGTGGGATAAAAGTGCATTGGCGCTGAAGGCATTTGCGAACATATATTCCGCTGCGGTTTAAAAGGCATGTTTTCCATAGTTTCCTGCGTACCTTGCACTTCATCTTGGAAGATCCTGCTTTCCCTCAGAGTTGATTTCCTGTCTTGACTGTCTTCTTTGAGTCGATTGTGTACATAAATACCTTTTTGAGGTTACACAATTAAATTCGACATGTTCCAAAAATGACTGTACTCAATACAAAGTCTTGTAAGGGAATTTCTGTTTCTTGTTTTGATGGAAAACCCTAACCAAATCGGAAAATGACACTACTTAATACATAATTGGAAAATTTGTGATGCCACTTAATTTTTATATAATGTACCCATCAGATAGATGGGTTCAGCCACGGTTAAGTCTTGTCTCATTCCTGTATATCTAATGTTTGTATAGTCCTTGTCGTTGTCAGTCCCAGGTCAGGGTACAGAAGCTTTTAGCTTCACCCTTCTTACCTAGATGTTCCCCTCTGTTTTTGTGTTCAAGTGTTAAAATTATTTTTCCTGAGTAATAATTCAATTGTTTAAATGCGTTTTGAATCAAAGTACGTGCATTCTTGTCTTTAAGTATAGCAATGTACTACTTATGTGTCTTTTAGGGCAATGTTGAAATAAATGTTGAATAGGCCTAACCCCCCCCAAAAAAAAGAAAAAGAAAAGAAACACGGCATAATTGTATATAAATGTTTTTGTCGTCAACTGAAGAAAAGATCTGAGACGTTCAGGGTGACGTTTCTGCAATTTGGACTTAAAGAAATCTTAATGACAGATTTTACTCTTACACTGACGTATAAAGAGCCTTACAGTCAAAGGTCACGCAGCGAGCTTCCGGAACCCTCGCGCTGTCCTCCTGTAGGGATTTTAAATTGGGCCGTCTTATCACGTTCGATAATTTTTAGAATAATGATTCCTACCTGAAACCGTCCGAAGAAACACTATTGTCAGCATTGTACCTTTATTTTCCTTAAGTAATATTTTGGAAAAGTCAGCTGGGGATTGGTAAAAAATGAAATTCATGGATGACCTTTCGCTTCCGTCAACATCGTTCCTAGGGCTCCTTGGTCATGCCCGTTTATTTTCACTTCATGAGCTTACGTGAAAAGGAGACTGTAAAACGTTGTAAAGATTCACCTACCTGCAGCCAGTGGGTTCTACATTCAGTCTAGTTGCTGTGACACCGTTGTTGTCAGCAACGGTTTGATTAAACTTTAGAATCGTTAGTAAACGCAGATTATTCCTTTAACTTAGTGTAATTCCTAATAAATTGTAAAATGTTTGAAATATTTTTATCTGTTTTCATTTTAGCTTTCACCGAAAGACGACTATGAAATGTTATAACTACATACGAGACCAACAAATTGTCTTCGTCTATTTCAGATTTTCGGAAGTGAGAGGACAGATTTTGGCAGGATAATTCTCTTTCAGGTCAGGTAATGTTTCAGTTTCCACAAATTAATGTTAGCAAAAATTTTACAAAGGCCTTTTTCTGAGGTGATTTTGTTTAGAAGTAAACTAACAAAAAAAGAATTACAAATTCTAAAATTGGTCCACTTTATTTTTCCTATTTCCTAAAGGGTTCCAGATGCGCACCACCAGGCCCTATTCATAACACTGCATGCTCAGTATTTGTCCGAGACCTTGCAAAAGGATTCACAAGCTTACTTGGGTGGGACTAGAACCCATGACCTCTTGCTATAAGGGCAAAACTCAGATTTGAAATGAACATCTCCCCAACACAATGTATATCTCGGAATGAAAGTGCTGTAATTCAGTAATTTGGGGATCGGTGAATACTACACATTCTTTAAGACTATTCGTGTCAAAGAAGGGTCGACACATGTGACTGTGTCCCTGTTTTCAGCCCATTATAAACCGGCACTTCACAAATGACAGATTATTCTATGCCCTCCTTCTTACAGGATCTAAAGATTTAGCGGATTGCTCGGTTACGGCTTAGATGCAAGTGCAAGTAATTACAGCCGTGATGCTCTAGACTCCGCTGTTGATTAAGGATGCAAGACAAACAGTTGAGAAGTACCCATGGAAATTGGATTGCTCAAGGATTGGGGTAAGTGGTTTCTTTTCCCTATCTATTTTGGGTACACAATGACCGTCTTGACAGTCTAAAACAGAATAGGTGGTGTTATGTCACAGGTTATTGCCCTACAATAAATGGCAGTGCCTCAGTGTCTAAAAATTACGCGATCGTGTACAGTGTTTACGTTGTTGATAATTCCCGCCATAGTAGAAAATGAAATATGTTGTGGAGTTGTATAGACCTGCACGCATTTTGTACAATTTTTGCAGCGCTTGTAATACATTAGGCTACCAGGATTTGTCCCCGGCTTGTAGAGGTTATGCGTTGATGGTGCTTCATGGTGCCTCAGAGGCTGGCTTTGTTATTTGAATTTACGACAAACGCACCGAAGGTTTACTCGACCCTATCCCAGTAATGCAAAACTCTTGCCCTCTGAGAACGCGTTCCCGCATATTCCTTTTGTGATTATATCCTTTCCTATTGTTTCGAATCCGTGAACATTTATGTTGAATTATTCTCGCCCGTTTGGCTCTTAGTTGCCGTAAAAACTTAATGCCCAGGCACGCTCAATCCACAGAGTACGCTCAGTTTAATAATTGCGTTATGACGCGACGATTATTAGAACTTGCACCTTTCGGAAAAATTTTCCTCATTGTGGCCGGAATTCTTCATCCAATCTGGCCGTGTGAACCAAATTTTATTATGCATATTGCGGACGGCTGTATGATTTTGGACATTTGAGCGGCGCAGACGGTCTGCCCCGGATATTCTCCTCAATGTGGTGACGCACTTTGATCGATATCGGACACCGGGATCATGCTCCGCACTTCAGAGGCCATAGATTCGGTTGTCGCAGAAAGACAATAAGCATTTTTCCCCTGTCGACGTCATTAAGCAGTGCTTATAACTATGGCACTGTGGGGATAAGTCCAGGAGTATATATCCGACTTATTGCTGAGCTTATTTTGTTTTTGGGATGCCGTCATTTGTTCTAGGCGAACTAGTCAATGCAAGATCTCAAAACGTGCCCTTTGGTAATGATAGAACCCCCCACTGAAATACAATCCTGTCATATTGGAACAACCAACAAATCTTCCTGAAATTGGATACATTGCAAATCGTGCAATGAATAAAATTCTAGGTTCGTTTAAATGTTAACAGAATCTGCCTTGGCGAATAATGGTAAACAGCTTTTGAGTTACACATTATATCAATACTCTGCTTTAGACTGAATTTCAAGATAGATCCGTCTTAATGTCGCCATTCTGTACATACTGAGAAATTCGTGGCTTCATCCAGTCGTCTTGGCATGGGTAAAAGCATTCTAGACTCGTGGACCAATGGGCAGGGTCCAATTTCTACGGTTACCAATAATCAGGCCAGTCATGGTGCAGCTGTGAATGCCGTCATTCCCATGACGACAGGTCAGCCATTTTCGGTTTTTAATAAATTGCAAGCTTCTACGCATACATCACTTTCAGTGAAAATATTAGCCCAGAAGTGCTTGCAGAGAAACCGGACAGGGAAGTCTGGAACAGTTGTAATACTTCGACATACAGGCAATTCAAATCAGCGGCAGAGGAAAGTGGTCTTTGTGATAATGCATAGAACGGATTTCAAATACATACAGTAATCTGGCGCCTAAATTTGAACCCTTTTCACGATACCGGGGTTGTGTGAATCCAAATTAAATTTCTATAAAAAGGCTGTATGTGGTCGCCACGGTTTGCAATATGGTTTTGAACTTATTTGACAGGTAGTAGGCCTATTCCTGTGAAACTTTGGTAACCACTTCTTAACAAGTTCTTGTGGAGTCTCATCTTTCCTGAGCCTGTCCCTCCGTGTCTCTATAAGCTATGTTGTGAATATTGTCAAGTGTGTTATGATTACTCAGATTGTGGGCCCGAGTCTGCACCCCCCGTTGGTCATCTCATAGAACAACCATCAGCTTATCTTGCTTTCATCAAGATGTGCTCATGGGTAGTGTTACATGCCTTTATGGATTTTAGTCAGGAGCCTGCCCCGAGCTTATTACAGATGGCCATTGGCCGGCGGAAATCCTGTAGATGCCCGGGACTCTACGAGAGAGTCCTCTTGAGATTTTAGAGAGCTGACGCAGGGCTTAATGTCGTGTCAAGAAGCACTCCTGTTGCGTGCTTTGTGATATTTCGGTATCCTCTTGTCATGTTTTTCTTCTCTTCTGTTATCTTTGGGTCGAGCCTCCCCTGATTCATCTCAGCCGTATTTAGTTTCGCCACTCAGAAGGAAACCATTGTGCCTCCAAGTTTCCCGTTTTTAGTTCACGTATCTATTTCCGTTCTCCAGCAGAAGCTATTCACGTGGGCGCCGTCTTGTATAACTGTTAACTAATGTTGCGATTTTTTTTCTCGCTCTCTTCGGGTTCCGCTATTTGTGGTCGCTATTTTTGTCGGAGTATTCTGATTACGCCAATCTCAGGGTTTGCCGTTCCCTTTTCACCTGAACACTTACACACCATGGAAGCTTACACAAAAACCAAGCGCTCCTGTTAGAGAACCTATCAGCTGCTCTTCAATCTTCATGGCTAAAAATCATTCCTTATCAGCTATCACCCTGTCTCATATCCTCCGATTTTCAAAAGAAGAGTCGGTTTGGAGCAGTGGTACTTTCCTTGCCTTCCACCTCGTTGACCCCGGTTCGAATCCCACCCCAAACCGACACTTGGACTGAGGTTTTTGTTCCTATCTGACTCAACGGGTTTCCCTTGAATTTTAATACGGACTTTTTCTCCCGCCTCTTTGGAACAGACTAATAACACGAGTGATAATTACATAGTCTTTCCATGGTGAAATTTCCCTGACATCAAACCTCTACTCAAGTTTCAATCTTGCGAATTTGAAGAAAGAAACGCAACCCTTGCTGAATTACAAACGTTATCTTGCAACATATGCGTCCTAAATACATTCGGAGTGATGTTTGCTGTGATTGTTAACGTATTGTCGAAATGTCCCCAAATATCCCCCGATAAAAAAATGTGCGGAAGGTTTGCCACATTAGTGTACACTTAAGAGATCTAATTTCAAAATAAACTCTTGTTGCCGTTTTTTTTTTAGTGTGTTACGGTACCTGTCACCTCAAACATTGGCAACCTTTTTCGTATACAACGTGTTACACTTTCTGTAGACTACTGCTCAGGAGCTACCCAGTCTGTCTGGACACCGTTTCATTAGGACGATCATGGTCACAAGCCGGCAGTGCGGCTTAGTTTGCCCCCAGTCATATTTTCCCTCTTCCAGCAAAAATATGCGACATAGAGACAGTAAATGCAAAGACAAAGACAGTATCAGAAACCGAATGGTCATACATCTATGCATCCTGACAAATGCCAAACACTTTCTTGGGAGTTTGATTGGTGATTATTTCCATAAGCCGAGTCATATATAGCTCCAATACATATTAAAAATTGCCGTATTGTTCTCCTACGCACTAATGCTAATATAACATAATTTCATCAACGGAATGCCCCATCAGATTTACAGTTTCAAACAAAATGCACAGTCACCGGCGAAAGAGTTTGATATGTAATCTTAAACGCGTGCTTTTTACAGGTCTTTGTTGGATTTGGTAAGCGGCCATATTAGATTAATGTGCCCACTTTCCTCCTCGGAATACTGACAGTACGTTGTACAGATATTGGTTCGACTCATTTTACTTGGTACACTGGCTTTTAGGTAAATATTAGACCCTAGATCTCTCCATCAATGGTTGACAGGCTGCACCATCGGTTATCAAAGTAATGTCTGTTACGGTGCAGCAGTCACGGACAGCGCGATATGCAATCTGGGATTGGCAGCATAAGCCCCGACTTGGGCCATCAACATGAACCCCGACGTTAGGTATAATAATCCACGTCTCAGTGTAGAGTTTCATATCATGTCCCAAACTGTCCGGAAGCCATCAGAATCCAGAAAGCTACCGCAGACCTCCTTGAAGCTTTACCAAATCTAGTGTGCTTTTGGTGCTTATCTTCGTGTGGATGCAACACTCTTTATGAAAGAGGGTGGCAGCAGAATGTCTGCCTTGAATAGTTACGATTTCCAATGGTAAAGACAGTACTTAAGTCCGTATACGCTGATTGTCTGGAAGGAGCTCATTTTTTAGCAAGATTTTTACCCATGTTGACAATATAATGAAAGGCAGGTGTTCAAGATTTGTATCATCAATCACAAGAATTATTTGTAATGTCTGATAGAGTGCATTACTAAATACTTATCTAACGTACTCTTAATGGAAAGTTTGAGCGGGTAATTATTGCACGAGTGAACAAGATGAAGGTGTTTGGATTTTCAGTGCAATTTAAGTGAAAGCTGCATTTAATATATTTGCATTCATCCAACGATGAGGCTGTCCAACATGATGGATTACGGTATTATTTTCAGGGCAAATATGAATAACGCATAATAGGTTGATGGTATAAGCACGGATGTTTCATTATCATTTCGGTTTGATGTATTTTTTTTACAAATCCATATTTACATACCTCCCCAGTCAGGGCTGCATCAGAGAAGACGAGTTGTTCAATATCCCCAATTTCATGCTGCACATTGACCAGCAAAGCTAGCTCGGAGTCATTTGCATTGTAAGAAGTCGTTTATCACCCAGAGGACATTTTTTTTGAAGATCATTTCAGATAAAAATAGCTAAGAGGAAAGACTACATCATTTAATCAGTTAATAAGTTAATTTGTATGAACGGACACTCTTGACCACTACATCGACGTAATTCTATAATGGAATATACGTTAATATTAATACTAAATGGAAGTATTTTTCAACTTTGGTGGTACCAACAACCAGCATCACAATCACTTTTTCCACACGCTATGGTTTCTTCATCCAAACAGATCTAACATCGACAGGTATGTATCCTCCCCACTCCTTGTCCTAAACACGAGATGATCTGCGTACCGCCCACCATCGAAATTTCCCAGTCTCTGATATTGGCCAGCAAGATTCCAGACGTACACGAGACGGGCTCCGGCCACTC